GCCTTGCCTGGCGGGGCCGCAACCGGCAGAAGCCGCCAGGAGCGGAGGCGTCTGCTCTGGCAGGCAGCTCAGCTGGGCTGGGAAGCACATTTAATTACCCGGCGCTCGCTGGAACGGCTGCAACCGCCGCCCTGGGAGCACTGCTGCTGGCTCCTGCAGCCCTTCAGGGCCTGTGATTTATGGGCCTGGAAGCTGCTGCTGGCTGCTGGCACGGCTGCTAGCGCTGGGGCTCTGGGCAGAGCGTGGCCAGGGCAGCGCCGGCACCTTCCCTGCCCAGCCCCGTCTCCAGCCCCGCTCCCTCGTGTTGGGACCTGCCCCCTTGCTGCACGGCGTCCCCACAGGGCGAGAGCCAAGCCGCCCCGAGCCCCCTGCCGCTGGAACCAGCCGCACCCCCTGCACCGTGGGCCCTTCCTGGGTCGCGGCCTGGGGCCCAGAGAGGCATTGACCCCAATCGCTGGTGCCCTGAGGCCCTGTCCCCTGCCCTGCCATCCCCCCATCAGGGCAAAGCTCATATCCTCGGTGGCTGCCTGTACTCCATGGGGGCCATAGTACTGGGTTGCCATGGGGATGTCAATGCTGCAGATGTACCTGGTTGCCATGGGGACCCTGTTGCCATGGGGAGGTGGTTGCTACACTGGGAAGCTGCAGGGATGCAGTGGCCGTGTGCCGCGCAGGTGCCAGGGCGAGCTGCAGAGATGCCAAGGGGAGGCTCTGAGGACGCAGCCATGTGGGTCGCATGGCCCGTGCAGGAAGGAGCTCCCCCACCCAGCCCTGGCAGTGCCGGCCACATTCCCCTTGATTAATTGTACCCAAGCTCCTCCTATCTTGCTGCAGAAAGCCCTCCCTCCAGGCAGCCGGCTTTCCAGGGCCAGGAGGAAGATGGTGAGTGCCCACAGAGAAGGCATGGGGCCATACACAGATGCAGCAGCTCTGAGCCCGGCAGCCCCTTGTCCTGCTCACGTGGCTGTGGTAGACCCTGCTGGACCCTGGCAGCAGCCACCTGCCCATGCACAGGACACAACAGCCACTGTCTTTGGTCATGGAGAAACTCAGCACGTGAGAGCTGGTAGCTTGGAGTCACTCGCCCTCAGCTCTGCACCCAGGCACAACCTCCAAGCTGCAAACAACCGCCTTTCCGCGTGGTCCAGCCACGAGACAGCTTTGCTTCCCGGGGGGCCAAGGCCATGCCGCAGCTCATTCCGGCCTGGGGAAGGGGGCTAGGGAAGGGGAAACCACCCCCCTGGAAGACACCCCAGTCTGCCTTAGCACCACAACCCACAGGGAATGCACAAATTACCCTGCCGCCCACCTTGGGACCCGAATGCCCCGGGGGCCTCTCCGGACCAGGTCCTGGAGCCTGTCGTGCCAGGCCAGGAGCCAGCTCCCTGCCTACTGTCGCTGTCGGTGCAACAGTGCTGTTGGTAACTGGTGGCATGAGCAGGTGTCAGAGTTCGAGGCGGGGGGCAGACAGCGCGGGCCACAGGTCGTCCAACACAGTATCATTAAAAAAAAATGAGAAGCTTTACCAATAGGCCCAGGGCCTCGGACTGGGTCATTCCCTTCAAGGTGGAAGCAAAGGCAAACTGAACAGGAAGGAGCTCCAGACAACCCACTGGGCTGTGGAACAGGAGCTTCAGGACCAGGAGCAGCTGACAGACAGCAACCTGGCAGCACAAGGGGCAGCCGAGGGGTGGCACATCCAGGGCATTAGAAAGGAGACAGGGTCAATGAAGATCTTAGAAGGGGGCAGGTGGATGGTAATGAGCCAGGAGGTCAAGTGACCCCCACAGTGCTGCTGGATTTGGAAGGCTCCGAGCACCACCGGGCACTGCCAGGCAGCTGGTTTTAAGCACTGGTGGAGCAAGTGCACCTGTGCAGCCCCTGCATGCACCGCTGATGGATGGGGAGGGAGGTCAGGACCCGAGGTGGGCGGTTCCCATCCCTGGGCTCAGAGAGGTCATGCAGCCCCTGATGCCACTGGAGTGCAGCTGACCCCAGCCCCGTTGACGTGGCCACTAGCCATGGGGACACCCCAGGCTCCATAAAGCAGCTGCTAAGAGCAAAGCAAGGCCCAGTCGCTGTCCTGAGACACCAGGCCCCAGCTCCACCTGGGCCGTGCCAGTGCTCAGAGCCCCATAGTGCAGCCCACGGGCTCACCAAGGACAGGAGCAACCGACTCACGGTGGCCAGAGGTGCAAAGACATGGGTGCAGCAAGCCAGAATGGGCCAGGGCACATGTGTGCCATGCGGTGCTGCTGGCCATGCCGCCGTGCTCCAGCATGAATGTGCACATGCCCTGGCACAGCACACGCATATGAACAACCACACGCACGATGCAGCTTGCCCTGCACTGCCAGACTCGTGCACCCAGTCAGCCCTCGCCCTGGCCCTGGCCAGCTGGTGGGCTCACACACGTGTGACCCTGTCCCCCCATGCTGGTGGTTCCCCCCAGTACCGCAGGGGCTGCAGCCCCGCAGGGATGGGGCTGGGCTCCCACAACAGCTGCCCCCAGTCCCAGCCACAGTTCTGTGCAGCGCCGCCTTGGAGCAAGGGCTGGGCATGGGCTGTGCCAGGCCAGTGTCCAACAAACTAGCCCTCCTGGGATGTAGGGTGCATCCTACATGGGGGTTGTACTGAAGGTGAACAAATAGGCCCATGGGAGACTGCTCTGGTGCCTGCCCTCTTCCCACCTCAGTTTCCTCCCAGTCCCCCACCACTCCCCAGTCCCTGTCCTGGATGTCTGCTGGGACAGATCTGGCTTTAATTGGCTCCTAATCCTGTTAGGGAGGCTCCCAATGGAGCTGCTAATCCCTTTAGGCAGACAGAAATCTCTTTGCCTTGGGGCTCGCCCTTGGGGGAGATGCAGCGTGGGGGGCCAAGCCCAGTGGGACAACCAAAGGCAGATGGCTGCATGCCCTGCCCTGCCCTGCCCAGGTCTGGCTCTGCAATAGTGTCTTCCTGGGCGCAGGGGCCGTAGGCTGACATCTCTGCTCTCCACAGGTCTCTTCTCCCCTGCGTCCACATCTCTCCCCGCTGCTGCTGCTGGGGCTGGCCCCAAAGAGGATGCAGGGGGATCCCCACTCCTGGGCAGCCCCTGAGCTCACAGACAGGGGGAGAGGCTGGGAAGAGGGGACTGAGGAGCAGTGGGCAATGCCTGTCCCCATCCCATGCCATGCCTGGGGACTGGGGGGCTCCAGAGGCCTGGCACATGGTTGGGGACACAGAGCCGGGGGCCAGGAGCCCTGTGCTGTCTGCTGGACTGGCTGCCCTGTGAACCATGCCCCACACCACGCTTAGCTGGGGGTGGCAGCAGGTACCCGTGGGGCTGCGTGGCGAAGGAGGGAGCACCAGGTTGGCAGTGCCCGGCTGGTCATAGGGGCAATGATGTCTCAGCCCCACAGGGACTTGCACAGACCTGCTCCTGCCTGGAGACGGAGCTGCTGGCTGCCAGCAGATGCCAGGATCAGTGCTGCTTTCTACCTGCGGCAGCTGCAGGCCTGGGGCACTGTGCCCAGCATCACCGCAGGGTGTGCGGGCAGTGCCCATACACTTGCCTCCCACCACCTGCCTGCTGGGCGCAGTGCGGCCTGAGGCTGGCCTTTGGCTTGGCCAAACCCCACTATCCTGGCCCGGGCCAGGGAAGCGCAACAATCGCTGTGCCCAGAGCCGCCTGCTGCTGGGGGTGGGAGCCCCTCGGGCACGTCTTCCAACCACCTGGGCTCAGCTGCACGGACCTGGGGGCGTAAGGCTCCTCTGCACCTAGGCCGGGGCCTGTGCTGGGAGCCCAGCCTTGTAGGAAGGCTCTGCCCGCCACGGCTCCTGGGTTCTGGCCCCACCCCTCTGTGGCCCTGCCTGCGGCCTTCCCCACTGCCTCAGTTTCCCCAGCCCATTACAAGTGCCGTTGCCTGGAGTGGCAGGGCACAGGCTGGGGGGCCGGAAGCCACGGGCAGCACCGAAGTGGAGGGGTCTCGGGCAGGCGGTGCTGCAGCCTTGCAGGGGTGGAGAGGGTCCTCCCCGAGCTGGGGAGAGGAGAGGGGGGACCCTTCTCAAAGCTGCTCTGAAGACCCAGGGCCCAACCATGCACTGCTGAGAAATGCCAGAGGGTCCTGGCTGGGCCAGGGTGGGGCTGTGGAGGGTCCACTGGGGGCCCAGGACTCCTGGGTTCAATCTCCATCTCAGCCACTGACCAGCTCCAAGCAGCTGAATGAGCTTCTGTGGCTTCTGTGCCTCAGTTTCCCTGTGGCCCCAGCCCCATTGTGCTGGGGGCTGGGAGCACTGGGGGAGGAGGGGGTCCATGATGGGTGTCAGTGATGGGAGGAGCCCCTGGCCCAAGGTGCTTTGGACCCTGCTGGAGCTGGAGCTGGAGCTGGAGCTGGAGCTGGAGCTGGGGCCGGGCCCAGGCCAGGTCCAAATGCGGTGGAGCTGCCCCCACTCAGCCCCACGGCCTCCTGCAACCAGGCCAAGCAGCTGTTCCCTCCCAGCTCTACCGTACTGGGGGGCAGGGAGCCCCAGGGTGCCAAGCTGGGCTGCACTGGGCTCGGGCACAGCCCATGCTGAAGCCAACACCCCATGTCCCTCGCCCCGACCTCTCCGCCGGGGCATCACCTTGTCTGTGGCCGCCGGCCTGCAGGACCCCACAGCCCGGCTCGCTTCCCTGGCAGGGCTCTGCTCCCCACATCACAGCACCCCAGCACCATAGCCCCTCCTGGGGCCACGTGGCTCCGAGACTCAGCCGGCTGCCTGTGCCCGCTGCCCCGGGGACTGAGCCGTGCCAATGCCGCCGCACCCAGTTCAATCAGGTTGTAATTGCAATTACATGGGGACAGGGCCCCAGCGACGGTGCCTGCCACTGGAAAGGTCCCGGTGTCCCGGTGCTGGTGCCTCCACCCTGTGCCAGCCTGCCCCTGCCCCAGGGGCTCCACAGAGGGCTCGTCCCCAGGCGGGGGGACACGAGTGCAGGGCCCAGGAGGCGGAGCCCAGTGTCCGTGGCTATGGCCTGCGGCAGTGAGTCTGGTCTGTGCCATGGGGGCAGGCAGGCACCATCAGCTGGCACAGATGCTGTTGATGGAGGCAGCGCCGGGGTCCACCAGCCCCAGCTCCTCCTGCTCATTGACGCAGAGCTGGTATCCACAACCCTTGCGGCGGGGCAGCGGGGCCAGGCGCCCGTCGGGCTTGGCACGGGGTGGCAGCAGGAAGCCGACGCTGCCGGCGATGAGCATGTGCCAGATGCTGTGGATGTAGAAGTAGTTCTCCTCGGTCTCCACGAAGGCGTACAGCAGCACGGCGGCTGCCGCGATCAGCGCCCCCGGGCACAGGTAGAAGGCCCAACGCTTCCAGGTGGGCGGGTAGCAGTGGCGCCGGCGGATGCTACGGGCCGTCTGTAGGTGAGAGGGGATGTCAAGCACTGGGCACAGGGGTGCAGGGCTGGAAGGATTGGGGGCACTGCCGGGCACAGACCCGTGCCCTGGGGACCTGTAGGGGCAGGGGGGATGCAGGGTGCAGAGCTCCAGTGTTGGAGGCCCTGTGGGGGCTGGGAGCGCGGCCAGCGTGGGGGGTAGCTGCAGGCAAATAGGGATGGGGGGACGAGGTCGGGCCATGCAGGGGAGGTGGTTCCTGCCCCAGGGCTGATGACCCGCATGGCACCCGCAGCCTTACCCAGGCGATGGCCATGATCCCTAAGGCGAAGAGGCTGGGCCCCAGCAAGTTCCATAGCCCGTGGCGGTCCAGCTGCAGGGCCATGGAGAGCATCATGGCGCCCAGCAAGTACAGCACCTGGCGCCGGAGCAGAGGGCAGGGTAGTGCAGGGAGGGAGCTGTGGACACGTCCCCCTCCTGCCACCTGGGGATGCCCACGCTGCAGCCCACACCTGCTCCCTGCTCCCCCAAGCCCCTTCCCTCTCCCCCCTGCCAGCTGGGGGCCAGAGCACAGACCCACATGAAGCGAGCAGGGGGCTGGGGGAGCAAGGAGGTATCTCCTGGCCCAGCACACTGCAGGCTGGGGCAGGGGCAGATCCTGTGCCCAGTGCCAGGCATCCCCCCCACCCCCATACCAGCCCCCCACCTGCTCCTGGCACTCACCTGCTTGACAACAGGCTGGAGCCGGGCCATGGCGATGACAGTGACCCAGACGGACATGAGGGAGCCCAAGAAGTCACAGAACTGCAGCACGTCATACTCCATGATGCAGAAGACCACAATGCCCGGCTGGTCACAGGCGTGATAGAACTGGGGGTGGAGCGGGGGGCTGAGCACACCCCACATGCCTGCAGGGATCCCCCCATGGCTCCCACCCCTGGGTGTCCCCCGTCTCACCGCCAGACATGCTCCCCGGCCCCGGACGCACAGCTCAGCTGGGTGGCTGTGGGTGTGCCTGCCCAGCCGGACAGGGAATGGGGCACCAGAGTCCCCTGCCTGGAAGCACTCAGGGAGGACTGCCTGCAGCCCTGTGTGCACCATGGAGCACAGGATGGGGGGAGGTTGGATGGATACACTGGTGCACTTGCCCCTCTTCAACTCCTGCTCCTCCCAAAGCTTAAACCCAGCTGTCTGGCAGTGGCCACCACATTTCCAGTCAGGCAGCACCAACTTCCTGGCTCTTTGTCAGCCACCGATTCCTGTTAACCTCTTCACTCCACAGGTGCTGTGTGACAGCTGAAATTATGTCCGT